TATGATTTGTGGTACGTTCGAGGTTCCAGGTGATATTTTGGAGGTTTAGTAAAATGCGTGTTTGTGTCAGTGAACCTCACATCGAGTGTTCAAAGTGTGTGACTGTCCTGTGATGAGTTCAGGGACTGAGGGAGATTTGGATCTTTGTGACAGGGTTTAGGGCTGACACCAGCCCCCCTGTGTGCGCTCTGAGAGACACAAATCCTCCTCCACGGCTTCTATCTCATCTCACACGTTAAACAAAAGGAGACTTAATCCGCTCCTTTAATCCCCACTGGGTTTGCCGACGCTGCGTCTGAAGGCGGCACATTAATCCCAGAGGCCACCGGGGCCGATCGTGGCGTCTCAGCCCGCCGCCGGGGATCCTTTCGCTAACGGCTTTAATCTGACTGGACCGAGCGCAAACACACGGAGGAAGTGGCGCTTTATGAAGTGGAAAACTGGAACTTTCCTTCTTCTGCTGCGGCAGATAATTCCAGCTGTGATGTGGATTTGTGGGGAGATTAAAGCGAACAAAGAATTCTGCATTTTTTAAATTACTGAAGTACAAACATGAAGCTTGAGAGTGCGGGCAGGAGGTGAGCGCAAGAACGAAGAAGAGCAGATCGAGTAAATTCAGAGCTGGAGATTAACGGCATGTTTTATTCACAGAGGATAGAATGTGTAGAGGAGGAGGAGGTCGGGATCACACAGCACTCAAAACTCCACAGAAGAAGAACAACTTGATATCAAACCTACAATGAAAGTCTGACGATTACTTATTATTATTTATTCTGTTCATACAAGACTTTTATTGAATAAAGAATCATCATCTTCATCACCACCATCAGTTTCATCTTCATCACCACTATCATCTTCATCATCTTCATCACTACCATCGTTGTCTTCATGATTCTCAGCAGTTTGACTTGTTGACGAAACTAGCTTACCACGAAGGCTAACAGTCTACAGATCTGACTAACTGTAGCTGCCCCTGCCAGACCAGACCAGATCAGACGTTGTTCAGGGTCCATTGAAGTTGCGTTCAGGTGTCGTTTAGGCTGTGTTGCGTTCAGGTGATGTTTAGGCTGTGTTGTGTTCAGGTGTCGTTTAGGCTGTGTTGTGTTCAGGTATCGTTGAGGCTATGTTGCGTTCAGGTGTCGTTGGGGCTGTGTTGCGTTCAGGTGTCGTTGAGGCTGTGTTGCAATCAGGTGCTGTGATCGACAGTGAGTTTGTGTCATCACTTTCTCTCTTTTTAATATCACCCTGTGTGAAACATTATTATCAGATTAATATTAAAGACATCATCTCACCTCCCACCACTTTAATACGAATCAGTCTGTCTGTCTGTCCCTCTGTCTGTCCCTCTGTCTGTCTGTCTGTCTGTCTGTCTCTCTGTGCCGTTGGTGAAACCAAAGGAAGGAAGAGGGGAAGGATAAATATTTTATTAAGATTTTAAAGCTTTCTCTTTTTCCTTTTTATCATAATCGTTATGATAATTATCTGAACAGTGCTGCCAGCTAACAGATAACACACACACATGCACACACACACACGCACGCACTCACACACACAGTAAAGCCTACAGGGACTTCAGGCCCAGAAGCTGCTATTTAACCTATATTACTACAGTAAATATTCATACGCAGCTAATATCTGAGTGTGTGTGTGTGTGTGTGTGTGTGTGTGTGTGTTTAAATATTAATCATGTTTCAGGCTCGGCAGCGCTGGATTCAGTCGCTCACAGTTTGAAGCAGGTGTTCGCCGAACCGAGTCGAAATGAACACAACAACAACTGACCAATCAGGAGTCAACTGAGAGCAGCTCTGAGTCCTGGTCCAGGTCCTGGTCTGCATCTGGTCCTCTGGTGGTCCTCAGAAGCTAAAATCACAGCTTTTTTAAACGGAGTTTGGTTAAAAACTCTCGTTCACACACATTCATCTGTTAATAACACAATTAATAACATAATGTTTAATAGGAAAGTAGTTTAAAAACGGGCACACAAAGGGCAACCATTTACAGCACACTGCTGTTAGAAACTGATCAGTGTCAGTAATCAATACTCCCATTATTAAAGCATTAATCAGCCTTTAGCAGTAAGCTAGTGTTTCTGTAGTGGTGACAAAACATTAAAAATGATCCATATTA